CCAAGAATACTGTATATCCAGGTCAAATAAAAACCTTCCACAACAAAGAAAAAGTTAAACAATATATCTCCACCAAACCAGCCCTACAAAAGATACTTAAAGATGTCCTACACATAGAAAACTAAAAAGAAGACGATAAAGTCCAAGAAATAGCCCCAAACAGAGAATCTAAGAAGCATGGGAAGAACCTAATTGGCACAGACCCCAAGAAGGTGGATAACATGGCAGGAACTACCAAACACCTCTCAGTCCTAACTCTCAATATTAATGGACTTAACTCTCCACTTAAGCAACATAGACTATCTAGTTGGATTAAAAAGCAAGATCCTTCTATCTGCTGCCTTCAAGAGACATGCCTTGCCCACAAAAACAAACATATTCTGAAAGTGAAAGGCTGGAATAAAATCTACCAAGCAAATGCCCCCCCTATAAACAGGCAGGAGTTGCAATTCTAATATCAGACAAAATAGATTTCAAATTAAAATTGGCAAGAAGAGATAAAGAAGTTCATTACATTCTAATTAAGGGATCTTTCCTTCAGGAGGATATTACTATTCTAAATATCTATTCACCAAATAATGGAGTACCCAAATGTATTTAACAAACACTACTTTCCCTAAAATCACATATTGATCCAAAGACATCAATTGTTGGGGACTTTAACACATCAATACCCATCTGGATAGATCAATCCAGTAAAAACTCAATAGAGAAACCTCAGATTTAAACAACTGCATAGATCAGCTAGACTTAACAGACATCCACAGAAGATTTTATCCAGCAGCATCAGAATACATATTCTTCTCAGCAACACAAGGAACATTTTCCAAAATAGACATTTTAGGTCACAAAGCAAATTTGTCCAAATACAGAAACATTGAAATTGGTCCTGCATTCTCTCAGACCACAAGGGAATAAAAATTAGAATTCAAAACCAAAAGCTACCAAAGAAAATCCTAACAAACAAATCGTTTAACTAGGGATACAGGTGGACCCATTGCAACAATGAGATGTACAAGTCGTTATGTCGAAAAACGAACTTAACAACTTTGGTGGGGGGGTGGGGAGAGGGTTGTGTGGGGAGAGGGGAAGTGGATGGGAAGGGTTGAGAAGGGGAAACAAGGAGGCAACAATGCTTGATAAGAAATGTACTCATTATCTTGCCCATGTAGCTGTAACTCCTCTGTATGGTATTCTCACAATAAAAAATAATAGAAAAAAAAAGAAAACCCATCTGACCCATTTGGATTCATAATTCAAAAGTCTATGCATCCACTTCTGATGTTTGACATTGTAAGAGCTTTCATTTCCTTAACACAAGATCAAGAAACTGAAGGCCTGAAGTAGAAGCTCTGAATAATGTGTTCAAAGTTTGAGTTGATAGCCAGTCTTCATGTGACAGAGTTTTGTATTAGTAAGTGTTTGGGTCACCAGCCTCATATAATGCAGAGCTCCACATAATAATATTATACAAGCACACTGTACTGATCCCTATCTGCCATTCTTCCTTTCAGTTCTAAACAGGACTTTCCTCTTTGATCCAGTCCATTAGAGATTTACAAATAAAAAATCTAATTGTTTTCTAAGGGATTGCCTTTTATTATGAGTAACAAACATACCAACTACAAGAAGCATACTGCTTCTGATGTAAAGATAGAAATTATCCATAGATCTATCAGTGACAAAACTTAAGACACAGTTTCAAAAATACTGCAATTCTAAAACCTCCCATGAGGTTTTCAAATCCCAATCCTGTTCCTTTCTCTCCTGGGGTCACCCTGCCTACTTCCAATTAAGTGCTCTAGCATCTAAGCTATGGCCCAAGTCCTGTGTGTTTGTGTATGCTTAAGTTTCCATGTAAGTATGTATATGTACATATGTACCTATAAATGCACACTTCTGTTTATGTGTATATATATATATGTGTGTGTGTGTGTGTGTGTAATTAACATAATGACATAAATGACTTCTTCATTCTACATTCTTATAGAAATCGCTCTGCAGCTTATAAACTGTGAGAACCTTACTCCCATATAAATCAGTTGTTTGGAAGCTTGTATATCCCTTTTCCATGCAGTGAATTATTTATAATAGACATATTTGGTATGGTAAAATGTTTACCAACTCAACCTTTCTGTTCAGATGTTTACAACAAATTAAATACAAACATAATTTAAAACTAATTAAAAACAGGCATTTTGTGATTGGGGAGACTGTACTATCAGTATATATCCCTTCTATTATATTTAAATTTTGGATTTTTTAATCCAAGAACCAATTCCCAAAGTTCATCGTCATATTTTAACACAAGTCCTAGAAACTCCAGGCCTAAGGCCTGTATGTATGCTAGGTTTGAGTTGAGAGTCAGCCAGTTTCTAGCAGAAATCAATGTCATATGAGTAAGGTTACAGAGTGACAATTATGCAACCTGATCACCACATTTAATATGCATGTGTCATACTATCACAATACATCCTGTATTTTAACAGGGTATACATTTATCCAAATGGATCGAAAAGATACAGAAGTGAACCCCATGCTACAATGAACATGAAGAAACACTGATAATGATATCTGTACTGCAGTATCACTATAGGAACTTTCCAAATCCAGATCTCCACTTTCTCTGTGTATTGTGTGTATAAGAATCTCTACATGTATATATATAGATGTATATGCATCAATCTATATGCAGAGAAACATACAGAGATTATATGCACATGGATGTGTGCACTTATGTATGGGTATAAATGTGTGTATGTATTTTGTACCTGGTTTTAGCATAAATTACTATTTACCCATCCACTGTTATCCATGGTATATTATGGATTCATTTATTTCTCACCTTTTTTTTACATTGGAGATGCAAAGATTTCTCTTAACATTTTACTGTTTTAAGAAATACAAATGCCCTAGTCCAAGATAAGGGCATTTATAATAAATTCAACTTTGCTTGTAGGTCGCTCTACTGAAATTTCTGACATTCCAATCCCTGTTTCCTTTCCTCGCCTTCACCCATCAGACAGAGCTAGTTTGCTGAAGGCTTGCATTTGCAGACACTCAATACTGATGGCCATGTTTGGCTCTGGGTTTGAGGCACTAGCCTCACCTGACTGCAGAGTTCTAGAAAGTAAGTATACATATTGTCTGCCTCAGCTCGAAGCACTGCTGCTGAGGGATCTATGGCTTAGTCTACTGCTACTTCTCTTTGCTAAAATAGAATAGCTGGCTGCAAAAACTCCTGAAGGTAGATTTTGCAAATCTCTACATCCCTTTATTTTCATTGTTTTATGTTCTGTGAAGGTAGGAGGGGTTTGAGTCTGTATATATGTGTATGTTTAAATATGTACTAAACAATAGTATATGCATGTATATAGATTGCTTTTTCATATATATGCATAGATAGGTTTATGTTTTTAAATTAATTTATAAATTACTTTTCTCTGATGGCTCTATCACAGGTGTCTAATATCAGCCTTGGCAAAAGTACCTACAAGTAGATGTCATTCATAAATACAACCTGTGTGGAACCAATAACTACATTTCTTAAATGAGTCAGGTAGTAGTAGATTTTGTTCATGCATCAGTCCTTATTCAAATTTGGCATTTTGTACTAATAATGAGTATTCATATAGTGGTAACAAACATATTAGACTTCTGCAAAAGTGATTAGTACAGATTTAAACAGCTATCATCTGTATCACAATGTGGAACAAATTTTTTTTTGGGGGGTCCGGATGTGGGGCCTGAACTCTGGGCCTGGGCGCTGTCCCTCAGCTCTTCAGCTCAAGGCTAGCACTCTACCACTTGAGCCACAGCGCCACTTCGGGCTTTATTTTTTCTGCTTATGTTATGCTGAGGAATTAAACCCAGGGCCTCAGGCATGCAAGGCAAGCACTCTACCACTGAGCCACCTTTCTCAGCCCAGGAACAAGTTTTTCTAAGTATAATTACACAGTTGAGGGGCTTATTCCCCCCTACCACTTCAAAGTAGTTCTGGATTAAGCCCCAAGATAACTCCGTAGAACTATGCATATCATGGCTATCTTCCTGTAAATTAGAGGAAGGGGTTGTAAACACATGATAATGACTGGGAACTTGTAGAACCAACTTCACTTGGTGCTGAAGACTCTCTTCCCTACCTACTTCTGTATCTGTTCCTTGCTCCAAATAGGGTTCTTTTGTCCCCACAATCAATCTACATATTCTCACACAGGCAAAACAAAATGATCCTTAGGTTCTGCTGGGATTTAAACAGCATGTCAAACACATCAAAGGCATGAAATATTTACCTTATGACATGTTTCTGTTTTATCCAAAGACACCCCCTAAAATATAGAAAGTTTCATTCATATGATATATGAATTTAGGGTGGAACCAGAGTCAAAGCCTTTGCTCCACTGACCATCTCAATGAACTTCAAAAAATCCAAATCTCAGTCTCCACATTCCTCTACTTATCTGTGTATGATCAGTATCAACACAAGAATGGATATTCAAACAAGGCTTCTAGGAAAAATTAATATTTTATACCTGCAAAAGACTCTCATGCAGAAGCTAAGAAAAATATGTATGAAGAAAACATTAACAAATGTTTACTGGCATTTGTTGTGGATTTTAAATTCAAATCACTTCACAGGACTCAACCCTTATGCACCAGCTTATTTGCTGCTTCCCACGTTCCCTCGATTCCTTCTTAACACTGATTGTGGTTTCACGTTCCTACTGGTCAGGTAGTGAACAGGAACAGCTTGCTAAAGCAGAACTCCCATCCAATGTGATGGTTGGCCTTATAGAGTAGCAGAGTTCTAGAGAATGAAGCATGGACCCAGGATCAATGATCCCCAATAACCTGGCCTCCACAGAACACTGAAACTAACCAAATGTCTTTTGAAGTCCTCTATAATTTTCTCTACTGTTTCAAAAACATTATACATTCTGTGTATTGTCATCACATGACAAAACAGTTTATCATTCAGCCAACAAAAGAAAACAACTCACCCAGTGGTCATGAAGTTACCAGAACCAATGACTATATCCGGTATGGTATCAGTATCACTGTGAACAAATGAAAAACAGAAAATTAAGTTGCACTATGTATAAGAAACCATACTTTCCTTACTACACACAGTGCTGACTTTAAATGTAACCGTGGCTTTGTGAATGCTAGGCAAGTGATAAACCACTTAAGCTACATCTCTAGCTCTTCTGCCCACACCATGACCTCTCTCAAATACTCAAGTTTGAACTCAGATCACCATACTTGCACTAAGTGCTGAATTTAGAGTCATGCTTTTGTCTGTACTGGCTTACTCAATGATCTCCCTGTTTGGGTTCAGTATAATCTGGGAACCTGGTTCCTGCATGTTAAGTGCTCAATTTAGACTCAAACTTTTGTCTCTACTTGCGTATTCAATGTTCTCCCTGTTTGTGCTTCCATCATAATCTGGGATGGATGGCATGCTATAGTCTGATATCTATAATCCTATCTACTCAGAGGCTGAGACTGAGGATAGTAATTTGAAACCACCAAGAGTAGGAATGCCTGTGAGAGTCCATCTCGAATTAACCAGCAAAATGTTGGACTCAAAGAGTAGTTCAAGATTTCCATTAACCAGCAAAATGTTGGACTCAAAGAGTAGTTCAAGAGCAAGAAAGCAAAATAGGCACAAGGCTCGGAGTTTTAGCTGTAACAGACAGACAGACAGACAGACGCACACACACATATGCAGACACAAGTTAATCATTGTCATTTGGAAGGTACTTTGCTCATAAAAATCTTACTATAGTCAATCAAAACATATACTATTCAATCTCATAGGCTCTTATACAAAGGCTGATAGCTTTCTAACGGTTTTCTTCTGTGCTCACTAAAAAAGCAAGGAGTTTGTTTTCTGACTGGATTCTCATGCCTTCACCTAACTGAAAAAAGAGAGGAATATTGCAGATATAAGATACACTGCCCACCTTTTTTATATAGTTCCCAGAAATTCTGGCTTAATATCTGTGTATCTTTGTATTCATGCATGCATGTATGTGTGTTTGTATACACACATATATGCACACACATATACATACCTGTATGCATCTGATTTTTGCTGACATCTTCCAGTCTGAGCTCTATTGGTTCATTTATATCCACATTAAACAATTAAGCAATTATATTATGCAAAATCAAATATGAGGTAAATTCCTACACTTACTTCTTCACTCATTAGCTACAATTCTCCCAAAATTAATAAACTGGTAGGACTTGAAAGTTTTATATGCCTAGTTATAAGAAAAGGGGTATTTCTGGTAATCTTGAGAAACGAAACAAAGTATCTAGGGCAAAGTACATGTACACATCTGCAAAAGAAATGCTTCACTGCAGATTTAAGACTATTTCTTTCCTAGGCCAGGAGCTTGTAGCTCAAACATATAATCATAGCTGATTAGGAGGCTGAGAAACGAGGGTCTCAGTTTGAAGTCAGCCCAGGGAGGCAAGTCCCTGAGACTGTGTGTGTGTGTGAGTGTGTGTGCGCGCGCGCGAGCACGCACAAGGGCTCACACATGCAAGCGTGTGCGCTCGTGCACACACGCACACACACGCACACACACACACACACACACACACACACACGAGTCCTGGGGTTAGAATCAAGGGCCTGGACATTGTCCCTGAGCTTCTTTTGCTGCAGGCTAGATTTCTACCTCGTGAGCCACAAAGCTTTTTTTCTGAATAGTTTATTGGAAACAAGAGACTCTTGTACTTTTCTGCCTGGGCTGACTAACAATCATAACTCTCAGATCAGAGACTCCTGAGAAGCTATGATTACAGGCATGAGCTACTAGCAACCAGTTCCTAAGACTTTTATTTGCTGCAAAATATGCAGAAAACAACAGAAGTAGACCTGTGTCTCAAAGGGTAAGGCACTAGCCTTGAGTAAAATTCGCTCAAGGTCCGAACACCAGCTCTGAGTTCAAGCCTAAAGACTGGAACAAAATGACAATAATAATAACAATGATAGTAATAGTAATGATGATGATGATGATGATGATGATGATGATGATGATGACGACGACGATGACAATGCAGAGAATTAGAGGATGAGTCCGCAGGTTATACAATTATGGACAATAAGCAAGATAGGTAAAAGAGGTATGAAAAGATTATTTTTACAGGCCAGAAAAAGAGCCAATGCCAAAGGCAATTTGACTTAAGACTTCTACCCGCTAGGACTGTGGAATAGCTTGTAAGTGCATGAGCTATTTTGTTTGTGATAATTTGTTACTAAAGTCATCAAATACTTATACTGTCCATTCAAATGGGGTCTCACACACAGGCTACCTGATAGCTTTCTAGGAGTTTCACTCACTGCTCACTAAAATATCACTAAGGCTATCTTCTGACTGGCTTCTCATTTATTCACAACTTGGAAAAGTGGGAACTTTCCAGACATAAGCAGTAATGCCCAATCTTTTGAGACATCTCCCAGAAATTCTGGCTTAATATCTCTGTATCTTTATGTACATATATATATACATACATATAAGGAATGCATCTCACCTATCACTAATGTCTTCCAAGATTAGATCTCCTGTTTTAGTATCTTCCAGGCTAAAGGATTAAATTATACACAGTCAAATATCAGGCAAATATATTTGCATTTTCTTCCAACTTAGCTACAATTTACTTAAAACTAATAAATTGGAAGTTGAAAGTTTTACATATTTAGTTATATACAAAGGAGTATTTCTCTTTCCTGACTAGGACAAGTATCTGTGCTCACAGATATAATCCTAGCCTCTCAGGTGATTGAGATCTAAGGATCATGATTTTCCACCATACTGGACAGAAAATCCATGAGACTCAAGTCTCCAACTAGCTACCAAACACACTGGAAGTGGAGTTGTGGGTCAGGGACTAGAGTGCTAGACTTGAGCAAACCACACTCAGGAACATGGCTCAGACCCTAATCTCAAGCCCAATGACTGGCACACTGAAATAAACAATAATTCCATTCTTATAAACATAAGAAAAGTTTAATGTCCTATTGTTCTTGAACTAATTTTAAATTCAGCTTACTTCACAATAACTCAACCCTCACAATCTAATTTTCTATCTAATTTTCTGCTTCCTATGTCTTCTCTATTCCCTCCTTAATAAACTAATCTTGGCAGTCTTTCCTGCCTGTCAGATAGGAACAAAGAATAGAAGGCTAGAAGCAGGACTCCCATCCAATGTAATAGTGGGCCTTTCAGGGTAATTGAGTTCTGGAGAATGAAGAATTGGTCTGAGGTAGATGATTCTCCTATCTACTGAGATCTGCAGAACAGTGGGACTGCCTCTGTGTTTCTGAGAGGAATTCTTACATTCCTCGGATCTTTATGAGTCCCATACATGCACGTTGATACTCTGACTAAGGATTGTGCCTGCCAGTCCTTGAATTCACAGCAGACCATGACCAAGTCTCTTTTGACCTGCTCTATCATTTTCTATTTAGTTGCAAAACTGAATATGACTACATAGAGTTTTTGATAGGTCGTCATGTATTTTGTCGATTGTCATAATACCCCATCCACAAAAATGGTTTACCATGTGAATGACAAAAGAAAACAACTCACCCAGTAGTTGTGTTGTTACCAGAAATGATGACAACTTCCGGCATGGTTTCTATGTCACTGTGAACAAATAAAAAACAAACAGAATATTTAAGTTGCACTATGCATAAGAAACCATACTTTTTTTTTTTTTTTACCAAAATGCTGACTACTGACACTAAAGTCTGTGCAGACTAAGCATGTGCTCATTTACTTGAGCTATATCGCCACCTCTTCTGCCCACTCCATGACTTCTCTCAAATACTGAGGTTTGAACTTAGATCACCATACTTGTACTAAGTGCTCAATTTAGAATCGTGCTTTTGTCTGTACTGGCTTACTCAATGATCTCCCTGTTTGGGTTCAGCAGTATAGGAACCCTGTTGCTCTAGTTAAGCGCTCAATTTAGACTCACAGTTTTGTCTCTACTTGCTTATTCAATGATCTCCATATTTGTACTTTCATCATAATCTGGGATGGATGGGCATGCTACTGTCTCACATCTATAGTCCTATCTACTCAGAGGCTGAGACTGAGGCTACTAATTTGAAACCACCTAGAGTAGGAATGCCTACGATAGTCCATCTTCAATTAACCAGCAAAATGTTGGACTCCAGGAGGAGTTCAAGAGTTTCATCAACCATAAGCAAGAAAGCAAAATAGGTACAAGGCTCTAAGTTTTGGCCATAATAGATGGACAGACAGACAGATAGACACAGACAGACACACAGACAGATAGACAGACACACACACACACACACACACACACACACACACACACACACATACACTCACGCAGACACAAGTTAATCATTGTCATTTGGAAGGTACTTTGCTCATAAAAATCTTACTAAAGTCAATCAAAACATATACTACTCAATCTCATAGGATCTCATAAAAAGGCTGATAGTGTTCTAAGGGTTTTCTTCTGTGCTCACTAAAATAGCAAGGAGTTTGTCTTCTGACTAGATTCTCCTTCCTTCACCTAACTTGGAAAAGAGAGGAATATTACACATATAAGATACACTGTCTAACTTTTTTTATATACTTCCCAGAAATTCTGGTTTAATACCTTTTTATTTTTGTATTCATGTGTGTATGTATATATGTTCTTAAGGTATATGTATATATGTATGTATGCACATATACAAACACACGTAAATATGTGTGTATGCATCTGATTTTTGCTAACATCTTCCAGTCTAGCTCTATTGGTTCATTTATATCTACGTTAAACAATAAAACAATTACATTATGCAAAATCAAGTATGAGGTAAATACCTACCCTTACTTTTAACTCGTTAGCTACAATTCTCCTAAAATTAATAAACTAGTAGATCTTGAAAGTTTTATATATACCTAGTTATAAGAAAAGAATTATTACTGGTTATCTTGAGAAACAAAGTGTCTAGGGCCAAGTATATGTACACATTTGCAAAAGAAATGCTTCATGGCAAATTTAAGACTATGTCTTTCCTAGCGCAGGGCATGTTGCTCTAACATATAATCATAGCTGATCAGGAGGCTGAGAAACCAGGGTCTTAGTTTGAAGTAAGCCCAGGGAAGCAAGAACCTGAGACTGTGTGTGTGTGCGTGCATGCATGCGTGAGTGTGTGCCTGTGTTTGTATGTGTCCCCAGGGCCTGCACCTGCACACGCATTCACACACACACATACACACAAGCTAGTCCTGGAGTTAGAACCCACGGACTGGACACTGTCCCTGTGATTCTTTTGTTCCAGGCTAGATCTCTACCTCTTGACCCACAAGGCCACTTCTGGCTTTTTCTGAATAATTTATTGGAAACAAGAGTCTCATGTACTTTTCTGCCTGGGCTGACTTAAAATCATGACTCTCAGGTCACAGACCCCTGAGCAGTTAGTAGTACAGGCATGAGCTACTAGCAGCCAATTCCTAAGACTTTTATCTGCTATAAACTATGCAGGAAACAACAGAAGGAGACCTGTGTCTCAAGGGGTAGGGCACTAGCCTTGAGCAAAATACGCTCAAGGTCTGTACCCCGGCTCTGAGTTCAATCCCAAAGACTGGAGCAAAATAATAACAACAACAACAACAGTAAGCTCAAGGTCTGAACCCCGACTCTGAGTTCAAGCCTAAAGACTGGAACAAAATGACAATAATAATAATAATAATAATAAAGATAAGAATAATAATGATAATGATACTAAAATGTAGATGGTGATGATGCTGCTGCTGCTGCTGCTGCTGATGCTGATGATAATGATAACAACAATGCAAAGAATCAGAGGATGAATCCACAGGTTATACAATTGTGGACAAACAGAAAAGCAGGAAAAAGGGGTATGAAAATATTATTTTTTACAGGCCAGAAAAAGCACCAACACCAAAGGCACTTTGACATAATTTCTATCCCCTAGGACTGTGGAATAACTTTAAGTACATGAGCTATTTTGTTGGTGATAATTTGTTACTAAATTTATTACGAATTTGTTACACACAGGCTATCTGATAGCTTTCTAGGAGTTTTACTCACTGCTCACTAAAATACCACTAAGGCTGTCTTCTGACTGGCTCCTCATTCATTCCCCTAATTTGGAAAAGTGGGAACGTTACAATCTTCTGAGACATCTCCCAGAAATTCTGGCTTAATATGTGTGTATCTTTATGGACATGTATATATACATATAGGAATGCATCTCACCGTTCACCAACATCTTCCAGGATAAGATCTCCTGCATTATTTTCTTCAAGTCTAAAGGATTAAATTATACACAGTCAAATATCAGGCAAATACATTTGCATTTTCTTCCAACTTAGCTACAATTTACTTAAAACTAATAAATTGGTAGAAGATGAAAGTTTTACACATTTAGTTATATACAAAGGAGTATTTGTTTTTCCTGACTAGGACAAGTATCTGTGCTCACAGATATAATCCTAGCCTCTCAGGTGATTGAGATCTAAGGATCATAATTTTTAACCATACTGGACAGAAAAGTCCATGAGACTTATGTCTCCAACTAGCTACCAAACACACTGGAAGTGGAGTTGTGGGTCAGGGACTAGAGTGCTAGACTTGAGCAAACCACACTCAGGAACATGGCTCAGACCCTAATCTCAAGCCCAATGACTGGCACATTGAAATTTAAACAATAATTCCATTCTTATAAACATAAGAAAAGTTTAATGTCCTATTGTTCTTGAACTAATTTTAAATTCAGCTTACTTCACAATAACTCAACCCTCACAATCTAA